AGTTCAATGTACAGGCAAGCGCATGATGGTATCATATGATTTAAACTACCAGAATCTTTTAAGTTTTCTTATTATTGATATTCTTGGTTTTGCACGTGACGTCACAGCATATGCAAATTAGGCGTCCGCCATATTGGTGTCGCAGAAGCTTATTAGCATATGTCCAAATGCAGTGTTTTGGTGTGTGACTCTTTAAAATATGTCGCGCGATTTGGAAAATTTTTCTGATCAAAACATCAAGAAGGAAGAAAAAAGGAAGATATTTGCAATATACCTTTAACGACTATTTAAAACGACTAGAGCCACATGTTCAACAACGATATTTAGAAAAAATATCACTCGTGGGGATCGATCCCGCTACATTGATTGACGCAAAGTTAGATCCACAATGTTTACCACCAATCGAACCTACAGATCTGTGCTATTTGGTAATCGAGACGAGTTATTAAACAAAGAAACACTTCAAAGCTTTCAAAAGCGTGGAGGCCTACAACCAGATCGTTTCGGGTTTTATCTCTAGTGTTCAATGGAAAGTCATTGGTGAGAAATTCGTGGTGATCGGAAAGGTGAGACACTCTCAACGAATGTACAAATGTATTATTTAGCACTGTTTAGTGCTCATTCCCAGTCACTTGCTCTCTTTTCGTAGTGTTACAATAGTTCTTAAATTATAGACTGTCCACCCCGTCATATCATTTCATTTCATTAGCTACAATATATGATTATAATAGTACTGTATGAAGTATGGAGCTGATCAAATGGTACAATAGGTGGGCACAGGTTTACAAGAGCTGAACATACTTTGATAATTCTGTCAATGATTGGTACTTCATCTTGTCCACTTTCATTGTTCAAGAAATCAGTGGGAAGAGTGCTTTGAAGAATGGTATACTTGCGACGCAGCAAACCAATCACCCTTTCAATATGTATCCTTACACTTGCTAGAGCTCTTGCTTTTTCCACATCAATGGGATCCAGCTGTTCCTTCCCTTTAATGGAGGCTGGTATCACGAGTCTTGCCTGTTCGAGAGCAACACTTTCTGCGATTGTGAAACCACGGTCTGCCATAACCATGTCCCCTGGCAAAAGTTTTTCAAGAGTGCCACAGTTTTCCGTCAAGAACTTACCAGAGGTACGTCCTCCCCTTCCCTCTGACACAAAGGAAATAGCCCCTTGGGGAGAAATACGAATCAGTTCTTTGATAGTATTGTGATGCTTGTAGGACGAAAATG